ATTAAATATATATTTGTATGTTATTATGGACGCGCAACTTAATATACAGAATGGAAGATTTGTGCAAGCGATCTATTAATAACCTTTACCTAAAGAACCGCACTGCGCTATCATTTGTGGGCAAACGGGTTGTGGAAAAACAGCTTTTATTCTAGATATTTTGAAAAGTCATTATCGGGATGATTTCGACCATATTATTATTCTGTGCCCGACTATAAGCGTTAATAAAACATACCTATCGAGAGATTGGGTAATGAATGATCCCAGGGTGCACAGAGTTGATCCAGGCGATCGTTTACAAGACTGTTTACGAGTATGTCACGAAAAATACAAAGGAGAATCAACCCTTTTCATAATAGACAACTGCAGCGCGAGTAAAGAACTTACCAAAAAGAAAGATATACTTTCAAATTTAGCATTCTCCGGTCGGCATATGGAGCATAGCGTTTGGGTACTTACTCAAAAATACAACTCTGTCCTGAAAGATCTCAGAGCAGACCAAATGGGTAGCCCTGTTTCATTGCAAAGACCAGGATTCATTCAAGGAATGTTTATGCGAAAATGATGTCATTTATACCAAGCTCGAACGAGATAAAGTCAGAAAACTATTAGCTTCAGCGAAGAATTGTAAACTCGTATTAAAAACCGATCAACCAGCTGCTTATGCAATTGCTTAGCAAAATATAGCAACTACTTAGCAAATATAGCAACTGCTTAGCAAATATAGCAAAAATATAGCAAATATAGCAAAAATATAGTAAATTGAACATTGGCGGTTGTTATGTAATAATGTGGTTTGAAATCAGTTTATTATTTCAGGCTGTATTGGATATGCTATATTCCATTATGTTAGACTTAAATATCTCCTTAGGTATTACATTATGGAATGCGACGAACTCATCGAACAAATGCGCAAAGAACCTGTAGAAGTAGTTTCAGAAAAATCTTTAGATAAACATAGAGAAAGACTCGCGGCTTTGGTAGCCGGTGGAAAATGTTCCCAATATTTGGGGGAAAATTATACCACCAAAAAAATTGATAACATGACTGATGAAGAAATTAAAAAACTGTACGTGCGTTACGAGTTTAGACTGGGAGCTACCATGACTAAAACAATAGGGTCGGCTATACACAGTTGTAGCTAGTACGTTTCTTCCTATCCCAGCAGAAAATCGCCTGTATTTATGCGAATCTCTCGAGAAAGACCCATTCATCCAACACGCTATAAGCGCAGTAAGCTGTGAGTTTTATCATAGATACTGAATGTTCTTAGCGCAACTTATCACAGCTTTAATAACGGCTACAGTCCGTTTGATTCCATCTGAGACCGATGAATTGCTCACTAACTCAAAATCTAATAATTGCAACAAAACCAAAATGTGCACAGCGACAAGAATGGGACAGACCAACTCTGATGGTTTGTCTCATAATTTTGGACACCCGAATAAAAAAATTGTTTAACAAACGATCATCATATTGTTGACATTTTTCGCCATCCCATACCAGGGAGGACCAGTCGCTCATGGAACAGCCAGGTAATGAACAAGCATGTGCACCGTATATGGGGGTCATCTCAAAAGCCATTTTGGGTGTTCAATCAGAGTCACTGTTGCAGGTTTCTGAAGCCGTGACAGTGCATTCAGAATCGTCCGAATCGCTATCGCCGCTGTCCGAGTCTACCCTGATGATCACTGGCTTGATTGTGGCATGGTCCAATCCACTATGATCCCAATAATGTCTCTCTATTTCATTCTCAACTTTCTCAACACACTTGCCATGTTTCCTGCGTGATGGTGTCTATTGATTGTTGAACCAGTTTCTGTACATCCCGCAGTTTGAATGTTGTATTTTGCCTGGCAACATCCGATTTAATGATACCCCAAATTAGTTCTATTGGCAATGATAGGGCGGCAATGGGCAAAACTGAATGGCCATGTTCTTTAAGATACTCGTCAACTTTAAAGACAGGTGTGGTTTTATTAGACTTTATAATATCATACAGAACAGGTTTCGTTGCTTTTTGTGGATACGGTATTGCTTTGTGTGTCAACCATTCTATCATATCGCCCTTCCTACTGTTAGACATTGGGGCTTTTGTGTTAGGTACCTGAACGCCATGATATGGAGCATTGTCCATGACAACCAGACTCTTGGGGGGCAATACCGGTACCAGTTGAGTTTTAACCCAATCTAGGAATACCGCTCCGTTCATTCGGTATGATAGTCTCGGTTGTCCTTGGATTTTGCCTTGAAGACTAGCGAACAGCCTGGTAGGAATCCCCGACTCTTGCAGCCAGCATGGAGCACAATAAGCCGCTCACCTTGCCAAGTGGCAATTTCCTGGCACAGAAATCAGAAGAGGAGCTAGGGAACCATTGTGTTCATGTGGTATGGGAAGCGTTTACCCACGTTTCGTCCAAGTATACGGGCTCATAACCCTCGTAACATTTTTCTCGTATTGTGCGTAAGAAATGGTTCCTTAGTCAAACAAGATCAGACCTCTCGCATAATGCATGTCTATTTTCGGAGACTACTTTTTTGTAACGGAAACCAAATTGGTGTAGCAATTTCCATAACTGATATTTTGAGATGTTCAAAGAATGATTTGTCTCCATATATTTTTTTAGAGTACGGAGAGAGACATAGATATTTTGTTTGTACAGAGTCTTAATGGCGTTTCTAACCATCTCTTGTTGAAATGAATCGACTTTAAAACGTCGCTTGGGTTTTCAAATGGTCCCCTCAGGTGTGTCACTGCAGGTTGAATCAGGACACTTTTTTAACATAGTTTTTAACTTCCCTTCTGTTATCCCAATTGCACGTGCAGTTCGTAAACGATACTTTTTCAAAGCATATTGTGGTCTACCTTTTTCACATACATTTTAAAATTTGTTGAACACGTTGCAAATAAATGACTTCGCGTCGAGTGATGTTCTCATTGTTTCAGGTATAGCAATCACGCATCTATGGTTTGCTCAGCAAGCCTTACGTCACTTTCGCACATGAAACTCGCCCACCTGGCTGTTCTATGAGCGACTGGTCCTCCCTGGTATGGGATGGCGAAAAATGTCAACAATATGATGATCGTTTGTTAAACAATTTTTTTATTCGGGTGTCCAAAATTATGAGACAAACCATCAGAGTTGGCCTGTCCAATTCATGTCGCTGTGCACATTTTGGTTTTGTTGCAATTATTAGATTTTGAGTTAGTGAGCAATTCATGGGTCTCAAATGGAATCTCAAATGGACTGGTGGTATTGTCAATTTAAACATACATGCCCACTTATTAATAATGGAGATGGAAATACAACAAGCGAACGAGGAAACACAAGCGATTGCACCACAAACACAAGCGATTGTGGAAACACCACAAGTCAGAGTGACTAAGAACCCTCGAAAAGTCGCAGCTCGTAGGAAGGGTGCGCTAGCGAGGAAGGCAAAGGCCTTCAATACTGAACATAGACCGATTAAAACTCGGGCTCCCTATGCACTAGGGGTTGTTGCTATAGCGGTGGTATGGTTGTTTTATAAGACCGGGGAAGAGAAAACGTCACCAGGTATTGCACAATCACAACAACAAGTTCTATTAGAGTTAAGCCCTCATGTAATGTTATAAAAGCATGACTACTCCAGTTACAGATGGTAAAATGTTGGTAAACGCAACGTATCATTCAGCGGTGGTCAGCGGTGGTCAGCGGCTTGGCCATTGGCTATGCCCGTATAGCTAAAATGATCACTAAAGCCACACCATCAAAGCTAGATTTTAATGGTTATGATATCTGTATGTTGATTCTTGATATAGGATTAGCAATGGCAACAAAGGATATACTCATCAAACAAGGGCTTATCCCGGAAGACATAATGAAGTAATTAAACATTTGAATATTTTATAAACAAAGTATTATTGATAACAGTTCAAAACATCATGGCATCAATTGCGATGATGGTCGGTAGAGCTATTGTTAATGCTCTAGCTTTTTCGGGGAGTAATTATTTATTTTCTACTCTGAGGGAATCAAACACTAAAGAAGTTGAAGAGGAGCGTAAACGACATAATAAAGCATGAGAACAACTCGAAGCAGGCCAGTCACAATGGGCCAGGCGCAGAATGGGGAGATTAGATTTTATTAATGATGAAATGTGTAAACAAGCACATTCAATTGAAACGTTTAAAGGGGAAGTGTACACGCAAAATCACTTTCTTTCTTGTTTTAAACAAAACGCAATTTAAGAATTAGTTAGTATCAGTGTTTGAAAATATACACTCATTTTTCTCACAGTCAATGTAGCGAGCTCACAATAAGTGTGAAAATGTCATGCCGTTATGAGGCCTTCGTTTACCGAGCGAAACAGGCCTGAGTTATCCCCCTTAGATTATGACGTAATTGGTGCCAATTTAACTGGGTCCCTGTCTTGTCACAGCGCAAAAGATATCAAGTACCAGTTTATGGTGAGACAACATGGCATCTGATACCTTGCCTGGTCTGAAGAAGTTCCCTTGACCCTTCAAGAAATCGCAAAACCATACGATTTTGAACCAAAACGAGCAAGCTTCGCGGTATGGAAACGATGAAAATCAAGTGGAAACAAGAGAAGACCCACATCACCTAATTTGTCACCCGATCCCGACTCGACATCTACACAATTAGGCCTACGATCGACAACGTGGTAAGAATAACACTTTGATGTGTGTATACCTAAATTACCTACATGCTCATTATTACGTTTTCAGAGGCGGAAACATAATATTCTAAGAGATTTTTGTCATGCCTGGTGACCCGCATGCTTTGTCAGCAGGCCTATTCATCCTGTCGCACCCTGTTACGACCCTATCGCTAGTATCGGCATTGTCATCAATCTGAGTTTGTCTGTATCAGGTGTAACTATTCCCACCACCTATAGGCTACAGATCAATGCTACTTGCCAATATCAAGAAACAAATACGATTTGTCGCCAAACGTTGTCTCAACATGATTACAGTGTTTACTCATTAGGCCTACCAGCTGATGAGGAGACCATATGCTTAGAGTAACATGAAAATGGGGTACGTTTCTAAAGTCGGTTGCCAAGTGGAAACGTACTGGGGGGGAGAGATTCTCTTTGATTTGTTCCCATCCGAGTTCAAAATACCTGCCATGTTTATTGATAAGTAACTGGATGTCGTACTTCACACTTCACACCGTCCCCTTTTGAAAGTGAAAAGATAGATCACTCCATTGATGTGTTTAGTGTTTGAAACCAGTTACTACAGTATCTTATTCTATTTAATAGATAATTGGTTATTGGTATGTTCTGACAACCATTCATAGAAAATGCATTGCAACTTTGCAGGGAAACTATTTATCATCTATTATGAGGCCAGATTTTTAAAAAAATGTTTAGAAACTAAAAAAAAGAAGAAAAATCTAATATATAATTAATTATTAAAAACAGTGGGTTGTTTAACTGAGTGGACCAGATATATGTAAAATGTTTACAAGAAGCTCATTTACTGTCACAATCAATACATATAAATTATTTAAGAAACTATAAGTAAAACTTGTTGAATATTAGTGAAAAATATTTGAAATTGTAAATCTTTGTTTGGAAATTTGGACCTCCCGACCTGACCTTTTGAGCAAAATGTCTGTAACAACCAACCCCTGAATTGCAAATGAAATATGCAATCATTTTTTTAAATGAATTAGTGAGTAGGGTTTTACGCTGCTTTTAGCAATATTCCAGCAATATCACAACTGGGGGACACCAGAAATGAGCTTTACATGTTGTGCCCATGTGGGGAATCGAACTTGGGTCTTCAGGGTGACGGTTGAACGCTTTCACCACAAGGCTACCCCACCACCCTTTTTTATATTAACACTTGAAATAAAGTTTAGAAAAACATAATATTATTTGCTTTCATCACTTTATTTTATTATGCATTTTAAGATCTATCATGCACAACAAACAAATCTGACAAGTAAAATAAATCTCCAGTACCATAAATGTTTATTTGCCAGCAAGTTGTGAAAGCATATGTAACTTGTAAAGTTATTAAATTACATCAGTGATATTGAAACATGCCCACAATATTTCAAGAGGTATTCAAACCTATAGTAATAAACACATCATGTCAACATGATAGAACTATAAACTGTTTTGGTATTTATTGAATTATTAACATGTAATAAAAAGTATGCATATATCATCAATACAAGTTACTTCTTATATAGGCATCCCTCCAGATTGAATGACAAAAATATATACGTAAATGGTATGATATTTTTTGTAATGTTGTGTATAGCTTGACTAATAAAAGACACTTTTTCATTTCAGAATCTATCTACACCTCATAAACAAGAGGTTCACTTTGGGGATTTGCAGAAATAGTTGAAGAATCAGAGAAAAGTTATTCCGTCTTGTGTTGTCGAGGTGATTCGTGAAAGATTTGCATCTGATGTATGTAATGTTTTTCTCTATGCTCATTAAAATAAACTTTTTTCATTGAAATCTTGTTTTATGGTCTCTGACAACAATCAGCCTTTGCTGTTTCATTTGATAAGTTTCTGTAATACAGGGTGGCTGATGCTGGATGAGGTAGTTTTGGGCAAGGGCAAAGGCTGGGGAAAACTGAAGAAAATATCACAAGCACTGGCTAAATGCTCAGTGGCAACTTGTTAGTGCACTGGTTGACTAATTAAAAAGTACAGCTCTCTTGTTGTCTGAAGCACTGTACCTCACAAGATGCTCTAATATTTTATGACTCTGCATGTAAATAAACACAATTTGACATTGGTGGGGCAGGATACTCTCACCTTTCGTGAACACCTGGTATTATCACTATTTGATAGCGATTCATTAACACGTGCTCATGATTTAGTCAGAATCGTACCATCGACTTTGTTTTTTACAGAGATTTCATATGAATATGGAAAGGGTTTCGGCGCATGTATACTCTTCCATAAAATCATTGTGGGACCTGAAAATATAAAAATAATTTTAACATAAATTTGTCAAAATAATATGTACACTGACTAAATAATTATAAAAGAAGGTGGTAATAATCTTCAGCAGTGTCAGGCTTGTCACTGGGTGCCTGAATACAAATATCATCAGTTAACTGTGTATAAATTGTATCAGATCTAAACTTTTATGTCATTCACAGTATACTTTCATTTGTCACCCACACTACACTTTTACAACAAAAGACAACAATATAGAATATAATAGATATTTACATTGTGTGATTATTTATTGTCAAAATATTATTTTGTACCTCATACTGTATACCCATGCTTCTGGTGTACATTGGACAGTGACTGTACACCATGATGGACTGGGGACCTGTACTTTTGGGGCATCTGTGTCTGGCATGACTTGGCTTGAAACTTCATATTTGAAAGATACAACATAGAAACATTAACACTTTTGTCATCTATATCTCACTATCACAAAATAAAAAATGGTATTTGATTTTTTTCATGTATAAATATGCTATAAATTGTATATGTGTGTAAATTGCATTGAACATGGAATTTGAATATTTTGGGTGGTGGGTTGGCGATGATTTTGGATAGTGACTGGATATTTTGTCAGCTACAAACCAGCAAAACCAGATATCTTTTTAAATAAAAAAATATATAAAGCCTAAATAAAAAAAATAAACATGTTGCAACGATGTGTTTTTGCGGCTTTTTGCTTCAACAGTCTGAATCAAAATGATTGTACATGATTATTTTAAGATTAGGTACACACACACACATAATTTCAATGAGTTTATATAATTCCTGTGTTATTATAAAGTTTATTAATTAACAGAATGAGATGATTTGTGTTAATTCCAGACGGGAATGGCTGTAAAACTAAAACATTACGTAACACAACTTACTCCATCAACAGGAGTTTGCTGCATACTGAAACGATCAACTGATCAGGAGTATCGACATAACCATGGAGGAAGTGAACATGTGAACGAGACAACATCGCGGATTTTCATGATTATCAAGTGAAACTATGTACAAATATCACCCTACCCCTGCTAAAATACATTTCTTAAATACTACTGTGGTTAGAAGAAACAAAACAGCAAACTTACCTGATCGAGTTACTTCAACTTTACGGCGTTTGTTTACAAAAACATCCCAGTCAGGGTCTGTCCAGTGCTGACTGGCCAAGCTATAAATAGATCTGGCTGGTTGAGAGACTCGATATGTGCTTTTCATTTAGACAGATGATATGATAGGTGTATAATCATGAATCCGTGCAGATATACACTTATGGGGAAGCCAATTCAATGCCAGAAACCATGCGTTGGTGTATATTGTGGTACTCACGCTTTTTACATCAGACAAGGAAATGTAAATTATACGTGTTCTGTATGTGGGATAGGTGTCAGATGTCGTTATTGTTTATGTAAGAAACACGGCGCTGATAGGGTTAGGAAGCAGATTATTTACGCTAGGAAGAGAGATTACATCAACGAGAGGAATAGGGGTTGGGGTGTGGATAAAATCGATAGTTTATATTTAGGTATAGCAAATTAAATGCCTTTCAAAGGTGAATCTTATATAGATTTACCCCCGTATTATAAAAAGAAAAAAGCCATTATTAATGTAAAAAATAAAGGCGATGACTGTTTCAGACCTATCAAACCTATAGAAAATACCGAACACAATACTGAAGTTTTACGTACAAAAGTCAAGAACATATTCCTTGTGGGTTTGGATATATAGTTGTAAGGTATGATGGGAAAACAAACCCACCCGTGATTTATAGAGGCCCCGATGCAGCGGGAAAGTTCCTAGAATACCTACAAAAAGAAGAGAGAATAATCAGGGTAAATTTATCGCATAAGAAACCCATGATGAGGGGTGATTGGAGGGCCTATAATAAGTCAACGATTTGTCATATTTGTAATAAACCCCTGAATGGGGATTCCGTAAGAGATCATTGTCACGTCACGGGTAATTATCGGGGAGCCGTGCATAACGAGTGTAACTTGAAACTAAAAATGAATTCTCAAACAATACCCATCCCTGTTGTGTTTCATAATCTTAGAGGATATGATTCTCATCTCATCATGCAAGCTATCTCAAAGACTGACGGTGGCTTAACGTGCATTCCTAACAATATGGAAAAATACATATCATTCTCGTTGACTAAAACTATACATTATACGGACAAGGATGGGAAAGCCAGAATAAAGCAAAGTAATGGACTTAGATTCAAAGACTCCATACAGTTTCTGTTATCTTCCCTGGACAATTTAGCTAATGCGAACAATCCCGATGACTTTGCAATAACAAATCAATATACCGATCGGTTAACACGTCATTTGTTGTTGAGAAAAGGTGTATATCCTTACGAATATATGGATGATTGGTCTAGATTCGATGAAACTAAATTACCTCCCCTTAAATCATTCCATAGTAACTTAACAGAATCTAAAATAACCGATGCCGATTATGAACACGCTCTGACGGTGTGGGATAAATTAGGTTGTAAGAATTAAGGCGATTATCACGATCTGTACTTAAAAACTGATGTACTGTTCTTCACTAATATTTTCGAGATATTTCGAAAGACATGTTTAAAACAATACGGCTTGGACCCAGCATGGTACTATTCCAGTCATGGACTATCGTGGGATGCATTGTTGAAGAAGACCGGTGTAGAACTAAAATTACTCACCGATTACGATATGCACTTGTTTATTGAGAAAGGATTAAGAGGTGGTATATCGATGGTAGAGAAAAGGTATTCTAAGGCTAATAATAAATTAGTGGAAGGATATGATCCGAGTAAACCCAACACACACATATTACCATATTTTCTTGAGTATAGTGCACACTTTTTTCCCCCAAAACACAGCTGTGTAGAAGGGGGTGCGCATTATACACGAATTATGAGTTTGGATGTTTTTTCCCCCCATGGAAAGACATTACTGTGAGCACCAAACACTGGAAATACCATGTCAACAAATCCATACTGAAGTATGCAAATTAATCATGTAATTACACTGTCTGGCTATAAAAAGTGTTCTTTGTATATCTGGACTTATGTTTGTAACTTATTTCATTAATTTTATTCAAAATTCCTTTTAATATTATTTTTATTAATTTCGGCGAAATCGTGTGTGAAGCGATCGGAAGATCGCACAACTCACCGTTATTAACAGCAACCATGGTCAGATTACCGCAATTGACGCCTTGAAACGAACTTAGTTGACAGAGAATGGATACATATACGAGGGGTGTTCATTAAAGATTTCCCCCGACCCACTTCCGATGGACCTAGTGGAATGAAACTTGGCATAGGTATTAGTCTTTCTCCACATAGGAACCACCAAGAGTTACACACTTCTCCCATCGCTTTATGCAACTATGGAGACCTCGCTTGTAAAAGCCCTCATTTTGCGTCTCAAACCAGGACTTGACTTCAGAAATCAGTGTTTCATCATCTGTGAAACGTTTTCCCTTCAAAAATGACTTCATGGTTGGAAAGAGGTGGAAGTCAGATGGTGCAAGGTCAGGAGAGTAAGGAGGATGTGGGAGGGTTTCAGAGCCACAGGACCGCGCTTCTGTCTGGGCAACATGAGAGTTGTGTACTGGAGCATTGTCTTGAAGGAGACGGACACCCTTGGTCAGCATGCCACGTCTCTTAAGCTTGATAGCGTCCCGCAATTTCCGCAGCAGTGAAGCATAATAAGCTCCTGTAATTGTGGTACCCTTTGCCAAGAAATCCATCATCACTACTCCGTGCTGGTCCCAAAATACTGTGAGCATGACCTTGCCTGCAGAGGGTTGGACACGTGCTCTCTTTTGGGGTGGTGACTCCACATGCTTCCATTGCATCGACTGAACTTTAGTCTCAGGATCATAGTGATGGACCCATGTTTCATCCTGTGTGATAAGTCTGTCAAAAAAGTTTGCCTGTTTTTTTTGGCACATGTCCAAAAGATCCTTTGAGCAATCAACTCGTTCCTGCTTTTGGAAAGGTGTGAGCAACCTGGGAATCCATCGTGCAGTCACCTTATGCATGTTCAAATTGTCATGGATGATTTTTTCCATAGACCCTACACTGATCTTGACATCTTGTGCTAACTGGCGAACAGGTATACATCGGTCTGCCAAAATGGCGGTCTCCACTTGATGGATAATGTCCTCATCAGTGGCTGAATGGGGGCGACCAGGAATGGCAGCTGTTTCCACAGATGTCCGACCACACTTGAACTGGCGATGCCAGTGTTTAACAACTTCATATGATGGGGCATCTTCCCCATAAGTTGCTTCCATTTCATCGAAAGTTTCTTTTGGTGTGCGACCTTTCAAATATAAAAACCTATTCACTGCTCGGTATTCTACTGGCTCCATTGTCGCACCCTACTCGATCATAACACCTGTAAAAGTGGTAAGATTAATAGTTCGGCGCTGCAAATTCAGACATAACCCATAGATACATGTATCATTACACATGTGAAATTTCAACCAAATATGATAACCCTAAGTGGTTTAGGGGAAATCTTTAATGAACACCCCTCGTATCATAAATGCCATACTTTGACTCGTTAAAAGTCATATTTGTTTTTGTTTGACGATTCTATGCCAACATGTAATTCTCACGATCACGCGATCACGTGCGTGTGAGCCTTGACGGTGATTGGTCAGACTGTTTCCATGTAATAAATAATACCCGAGAATGGCGATCAGCTGCTTCACTTAGGGTTATTATTATTTTAAGAATGTTTAGTAAAAGCTGCATCTAAATGAACAAGATATTGGAATATATTATTCCTTATTAAAAAAAGAAGTTTCAGATACAATTTTTGCCGATCCTTGCATAAAAATCCTGTAAAGTTATATCATTGGGTGTGTCTTGACCGAATCACCGGTCGATTCCAAGAAAAAGTGTGTACAGCTGATTGCTGTTTCTGGCTTAGTTTACGAGAAAATACACAAGGTAATCTTAATCACTGGATATAAAACAATGCCTAGCAGAACAATAAATACTATTTAAACGATAAATCAACAAGTCTGGTGATTTTTTTATCTCAGATTCGACTGTTCGTTTGCCGAAATTTGCTGAAGGGGTACGGTGTAATTTATTTCTGTGCTTGGCATTCAAATTTATTTTTTTTCCAAAATACTGAACCCGCTAGAGGGGGGTGCGCATTATACATGGGTGCGCACTATACTCAAGAAAATATGGTATATCTCGACGCCAACAATTTGTATGGATGGGCTATGAGTCAACCTTTACCCACGAGTGGTTTTGAGTGGGTCGATGATAATGAAGTGAATAATATCCCCTCAGATTCCGATAAAGGGTAGATACTAGAAGTTGACATGGAATATCCAAATTCCTTACATAAAGATCATAACAGTTATCCACAAGCCCCCGAAAGATTAATGGTTAATAAAGATTGGTTGTCGGAATATCAACACTCCTTGATGGGTAATACTAGGTTAGCTAACGTAGAAAAACTTGAACCAAATTTGGTAGATAAGACAAAATATATAGTTCACTATAGAAATCTCCAGATATATCTATCATTAGGTATGAAACTAAAGAAAATACATCGAGTTCTAAAGTTTGATCAAAGCCTTTGGATGGAGCCCTATATAAGACTGAACACAGATTTAAGAAAGATGGCTACGAGCGATATTGAAAAGAATCTATACTCTTTAAAAAAAGAAACTTGACACTGACTTTCATATTGTAATATAATGCGATTGTTTCAAAATAGGACACAGAAACCATAATTGCAACACTGTTTGAAGATCAATGTACACAATGTGCAAAACATTAATCGTGTCACCTAGACAGACACACGTACACCTTACAGTTAATGTCACAGGGGTACAGGAAATGTCAGTATCGGTTGTGCCCACCACGTGCATCAATCACCGCTTGACACCGACGACCCATAGATGCAATCAAGTTGTCAATAACACGCTGTTGGATGTGCTGCCATTCATGCTGAAGTGCATCAAGAAGCGCTGGATTATCAATCGGGGACAAATCTGGTGACCGGGCTGGCCAAGGTAATGTCTGGATGTTGTTGTGGTGTAAGAAGTCCTGACAAACACATGCAATATGCGGTCGAGCGTTGTCCTGCTGGAACTGTCCGCCATGAATGTTGACGTGAGGAAGAATGTAAGGCTGTAGGATCAAGTCTCTGTAACGCACACCTGTCAATGCACCTGCCACATGCACAAGGCGTCCTACCACCGTGATGAATTCCGGCCCACACCATGACACTCCCGCCGCCAAATGGGACAACCTGCTGCACACAGTTGGGGGCGTAACATTCACCCTGACGTCTGTAGACACGTGCGCGCCCATCAGCACGTGTGAGTAGGAAACAGGACTCGTCAGT